ATTTGCACTAGCGCAAGATATGGGGGCGTTGTGATGGCAGGCTTTCAAACCGCAGCGAAGAAACGGTATTGAGCTGTAGGCGTAGGGAGAGAGACTCCAGGGCGCGTGAGCAGTTTTCAAACCCAGGAGTTCCCACCTCTTACTAGGCTTATTCCTAGGGGATGCTCCCTTCTCTTGCGATAGCTCCTGAAAATCTAACCCTTTAGCCTTCTAAGCTTGTAGTCCTTTCATCTCTCGTGAAAAATGGGAAGTGTGAGACATTTAACTTCATTTTTACAGGTGTGGCTATGGGTATCGCTGGGTCCGATGTCTCCAAACAAGCTGCAGACATGATTCTGCTTGATGATAACTTCGCCTCGATTGTCGTAGGAGTGGAAGAAGGCCGTCTGATTTTCGATAACCTCAAGAAGTCTATCGCTTATACATTGACCTCCAATATTCCTGAGATCTCACCTTTCCTCACTTATATTCTGTTCGGTATTCCACTTCCACTCGGAACCGTCACCATCCTTTGTATTGATCTCGGAACAGACATGGTACGTGCATTTGAGTAGTTGAGCTTGACAGATAGCCAGTAGTACACTATTTAGGTTCCTGCTATATCCTTGGCATACGAAGAAGCCGAGTCTGACATTATGAAGCGACAGCCTCGTGACCCCATCCGTGACAAACTTGTCAACGAGCGTCTAATTTCTCTTGCTTACGGTCAGATCGGTATGATTCAAGTGAGTTTGAGCTTTTCACACTCATACTTCATGATGTATAAAAATGTCTAAAAATGCTTTCAGGCATCAGCTGGGTTCTTTACCTATTTCTGGATTATGGCCGATAATGGGTTCTGGCCTAAAGACCTCTACCAACTTCGTGCTCAGTGGGATTCTCGTGCATACAATAACGTGCTTGACTCATACGGACAGGAATGGGTCAGTGATGCTGGGTTTCTCCATCAGATTGCATTTGTTATAAATTTTAAATATTTTTTTCAGACCTACGCCAACCGCAAGATTCTCGAGTATACCTGCCAGACAGCCTACTTCGTCTCCATTGTTGTTGTACAATGGGCTGATCTCATCATCTCTAAAACTCGCCGTAACTCTATTGTCCAACAGGTCAGTGGTGTTCGGTCCTAGCCTTATTTATGGTTAGGTCAGCTGAGCTTATAGTTTTTGTTTAGGGTATGACTAACTGGACTCTCAACTTCGGTCTAGTGTTCGAAACCGCCCTTGCGTGGTTCATGTGCTACTGTCCCGGATTGGACAATGGTCTGCGTATGTACGGACTGAGGTGCGTTTCACTTCACTTCGCGATTTCTATTTGACTATTACAATATGATCATACTTTATTAAAATATGATCATATTTTAAATATGTATTATGAATAATGTTATTTCTTGATTACGCATTGCCAAATGTATGACTTTAAGGTTCTCGTGGTGGTTCTGCGCGTTACCATTTTCCGTACTGATCTTCGTCTACGACGAGGCTCGTCGCTACTGCATCAGAAGATGGCCAGGTGGATGGGTGGAGCATGAGACATACTACTAAAGCACCACCTTTGATTTTAGACGAAAAACTGCTAATGTTCATTCAGCATGTCCAGTACGGTATCGTAGTTTCCTAGCTAAGCTTGCTGATTAGATAGTAGTCAGTATAATAGCAAGTAATCAGTGTTATTGCCTCTAGTTGCTTCTTTCGATGTTCTTAGATTCGACATTCCACTGTGAATTTTAGATTACATAGATTTGATCGACTATTTATTAAAAGTTTGGCTATGTTGTTCACAAGATTCCTAGAATAGGCACGCAAATCAAGCAATGTCTACGTTCTCACAATTGTCCTCATTGTACTTTCAGTCTATACATCGTCATCAGAGCAAATAACGTGTGAGTATGTAACTTTGCTAATAAATTTTTTTATTGGCATGAAAATGTTTGGAAAAATATTCCGTCGAAGATAGGAAATTGCAAAGTGGTTGCTCAACCTATCACAGATTTAAGCAATAACGCCAGAAGGTTGTGTCGAAGAATCTTTCCAGGGATGGCGATAGAATAGCCCACGATCTATCACAGCTGTGGCTGTGTGTCCGGCGGCTTTGAAAGTGTTCCGACAATACGCATAGGCCTTATAAAAGTGATCGCTGTGGCGAATGAGTTGATTAACCGGACGGAACGACTTACCGACCGTTCACACCCACATACACGCAAGGTGAATTACGATGTAGCGACTTACTCAAACATTAAGGGTTTATGAGGGTTAACGGAGCCATGGAGCAAGCAAGTGCAGTCTCACAGCCAATGGGGCACTTTGTGATTGAAATCGCTAGCCGAACAGCTGGATGACAAATTGCTCCACAAGCTTAAGCTATTATATTAAAGCAAATAACCGCAAAGAAACTCGTCCGCAACGCCCCTTCCTTTTTTTCAGGGAAACATGGCATGGGTCTTTGTACACTATCAGCCAAGGTGCAGTGCAATCGTACGTGATGACAGTAAGGATAAAAGAACAAAGTATTCAGCATTAATGCAGCCCATATTTTGGAATGCGCCGCGGAAATCTCCTAATGTCTAGTCCAGAAATCGTATGGTATTGAAATGCGATAGTGCCCATACAACTGGCTTAAGGTAAGGCCGCTTACACATACTTCCTCTCGAACGATTCGAAAAGCTGCACATTTCACACACTCCGAATTTATGGCCTATAGAAGGTAACGGAACGGATCTCCTTCTGGAAACGCCAATCTATTGCTCATCATCTATGTTCACTACCCATCCGGAATGAGATGTAACATCCCTGACTATATCCATATTGGTTTTAAGGAGGATTTCGCGGCAAGAGGGAAGGTGGGAGAAGGGAAAAGTCCTAGTGATAGACAGGCGGACCTGCTGAGGGTGCGAACTGACACGCAGTTGGCGGCGAAAGTTTTGACCTCGGCGATCTAACATGGCTCAGTGTTGGCGCAGTTGGCGCGAACGCCACCGACCTATCTAATTCACGTCGCACGCAGGTCATATACGCCGGCGAGTGACTACAAGCAGTAAGAAAGAGCGTTGAAGAATGCATACGCACGATACAAGCGCGCCATCAATAACGCGAATTTTAAGCGGCAAAGGAAGGTCCTTTTCCAAGGCTCCGGCCCTTCTCATTGGTTTTGTTTTTTTCTTTGCATTCACCATCATTAGCTTAAAGGAATCTTCCACGGACCATGGACCAGTGGGCGGGACCGGAAGTGGTTTTGCGACGAAATGCATGGTAGGTACGGATCCACGTTCATGGGAAGGTTTGAAGTGAATCCTGTTCACGTTCGTGCGTTCGACACGTGGATCCGTACCTACCATGCATTTCGTCACAAAAACTTCCGGTCCCGCCCACTGGTCCATGGTCCGTGGAAGATTCCTTAATTTGGAATGGGTTACTTTTCCATCGTAAATTCTGCCTTTAAGCGATTTAGAACAGATCAGTTGAAGTTTGCATAAAACAGAGTGGTTGATTGAAGCAGCGAAATAACCGCAGACGTCTGAGTACTTAGTAGTAATTAGAGAGGCGTAATAATAGGGAGTGAGCACAAAGGAAGGAAGGAACGAAAGAATCTCTTATCTCTACTTTGCTTCCGCCGTAATCTACACTTCTAAACCTGTGTCCTGCGTTGTATCGGTCAAAGAACAATGTTTCAAGTTATAAAATGCTCATTACTTGACAATGATTACCTATACATAGGTCAAGAGTAAATAGGAAAAAATCGCTAAACCTGCCCATCCTAACTCCATTTGTCTCTTGAGTTCCGCGCAATTTGTCTCCTACTATTATGTAAGGAACCAATCCTGTCCCAGAAAGGACAACCTCATTGTTGTGAAGCTCCATGCTTAGTTATCTGCGAGGATATTTATGCATCGCGCAAGCTACTGTGTGGCCTTATCTTGCACGATTGAAAATTGAGTTAATAATGTGTTTGGCTTGACCAATAATCTTTCTGGCATTAAGTGCCGCTATGCATTCTGCGTCAATTCGGAATCGTAAGGGCACTATGTAGAGTGCAAGTGGGCTAAGACATGACTTGTGAAGGTCACCCAATGTACAATTCAGTGTTCTCATCCTCTCCAGACAAGTGTAGTGCTATATTGGACGACAAGTATGAAGCCTGGTTGGCATGGAAGGCAAGCGATCTACGACCTGATCCCCTTAGACTGTGCACATGGTAAGAAGCGCCACTTGCCATTGCCTTTTGTATAGATATAATAGAAAGAGGGGGGGGGGGATCGAAAAAGAATCACTTTACTCATGGCGTGCGCCATCAACAATCTCGTAGCGCAGGGTGCCACTTTTGGGAAAGTTTCACGGCATACTATTCCTTTGCGATGCCCCCTCTCTATAAGCAGAAGTAAGTCCACATCTTCACCATCCTCAGAATATGACGTCATCGGGACTTACTCAGTATCGTATTATGGCACAAACAGTGGTAGTTATTATAGGAAAAACAGTGGTAAAGTATCTCGCTCTTCGAACGAGGGGTCGTATTTATGGTTTCGGAGGCCTTCTCCTCGCCAGCTCCACTCGAACGGCTGTTCTGTAGGAGAGGGCGTACTGAGTGATTCCAAAATCAATTACTATAGGAAACAATCATAGTACCAAGAATGGCAGTCGGGGATGGGGGATAGTGGTTGTATTGAGGGGAGTCCCCCAAGTCTGATGGTGTGGTGTAGGGTCGGTAAATTTTTGGAAAAAAATAGGTTGACTCTGCTTAGAAGACCAAAAGCTGCGTAGCAATAAGGTCTTTCCCTTCAGGTTGCGTCGTATCTTCAAATTGCCCTCAGAGTTGTATTGTAGTATCGAATCCTAGTGGATTGAATCTATTAGTGTTTCAGTTGAAGAGACCGGCCTTGGTTCAAATAAATGTCCCTCTCACTTCGCCTTCGAAACAGTTCTGCCACCATCCCACTGGATATCTACATGAAAGTAGAGGGATAGGATGCCAATGAGATGATGGTGAGTTGCTCATCTTCACTTGAATCGAACAAACGCACATTAATATACCCTTCGACCGGCAGCCAGGAGGGGGATCTTCAGTGGATGATTCACAACATGAGCGACGACAGCCTCCAAGTAAATTCGATAGCTAGCTTAAAGCATTTGCCGTTGATCAATCCCTTTTTGGGATGCGGCACGCATTCTACTTCCATTTGTACATTCGTAGTGGCGTTTGAATGCGATGTGGCCTATACAATGACTTGCGGGGGCCAGCCGATGTACAAGTCAGTGTTTTTATCCTCCCAGACAAGTCTGGTACCAATTAACCGACCCCGGAGGGATGGAAGGCTTGGTTGGCCCGGGCGACTCACGACCCAGGATTGATCCCCGCGTGGTAAGCGTGCCACTTGCCACTACACCACTTCCGCCCAGTGGTGGTAGCTGATAATTAAAAATGATAGTTGTAATCACTGACAGTTGATGAAACACAACTGTAACCGGTTCATCGCTTTGTTTGCTTAATACTATTACATTTTATGTAGGCCGCCGTCACTTGCGTTGTGAAGTCTGTAGTGCAAATGCACCTTGGTCCTGGAACTTTACAGGAAGGTTTTTTAGGTGTTTGCAAGCTTTTTATCAAACGGTATTACTGCATGATTATAGAAGGCGCAGCAGGGAATTAAAAACGAAGTGGATTAAACTTTTCACTGAACGCCCTCGACACCAGAAAAAGGGGTCCCTAGTGAGGGGAGTATGTTGAGGGATGAAGATGGGTAGGCCGGTTCAGATGGATGGAGCGAATGGAATGATGGGCGATCGGAATGGACAACGGCAAGGATAACGTGCTGATCCATTGGGGTTTCCCCGGAGCTAAATCTTCATCCTGATTGCCCAGTTTGGTGCGAGGCAGACAGGAGTGGATAAGCGTTTATTCATCCTTACGGTCTCTCTTATACCCTTGTATCATTCTCGGTGATCCTTCTTCATTTTCTCCATTCGCACGTTATCCTTGCCGTTGTCCATTCCGACCGCCCATCATTGCATCCGCTCCATCCACCGAAACGACCTACACTTCTTCATCTTCAAAAATAGTCACACCTTGTTCACCACGTTTCTTTTGACTAAAGACTATTTAGACGAAGGGTGCTGATATTCCTAATCATGAATATGGTACTAATTATTCATGCTAACTCCATTTTGCGCGAATTTTGAAACGTCAACTCGAAATGCAAAAATTTGTCACCACGAGGAATCGAACTAGGGACCCCTTTTCTGGTATTCAGAGGGCCGTTCAGGAAAAATGAACCATGCTTCTGTGGTCCCCATATGTGCCCCAATGTCATGCAAGAAACCATTTTGAAAAAGCTTGGCACACCCTGAACGACCTCCCTTGTTAGGATCGTGCAACATAAAATTGTAAATTTTATTTGGAGCTTGTATGTGGAATAGAAATATGAGTAAGTCTTTAAAAATATCGGATATCCTTCCCGATTACTGGTTGTTAAGAGCTCTTACCCATCCAATATTGCCGATAGTAATATGAAATATTCTTCCTATTTGTTTGTGCCTGGGGCATGTGGCGC